GAAATATTCTCTTGTTGGTTAAGGTGAAATATCCTTTTGATGATTGATATTATGGTGATGCTCATTTATCCTGACTAGTCACAACAAGTATAATTCAAATTTTATTGTATCATGAAAATCTAATATATGATCTGTATATATATTTATATATATATATATATGTTTAATATTGATTATAAATAATTCTGTATATTCTTTTGAATTATTGTCTTTATTGGATATTGTTTTCACTCCTCTCTTTTCTTTGTTTTTAAAATTAAATATATTATAAAATAGATGGATCTATTTGGGATTTCAGATCATTTTGCAGTTGTTATTACTGCAGTCCTACTTGGAAGAAATTGGAATATGGAAGTTATTTGATGGATCTGTTATAATTTTATTTACCAACAATATTATTTCAATTGTAATTTTCTTTCTACTATTAATGTAAATATTGTAACAGAAGTGGAAAAAAGAAATAATATGTAAAATAGTACATTATTGTAAATATTTTATAACGATATGTCATAAATTCACAAAATATTCTTTTTCTTTATCTTTATCTTTTTTAAAAAAAATATTGTTAATGATATAATTACAAAAATATATAATTATTATTATATAAATCGGGTGTTAAAATAGCTGGCATCCATATTTTATAGTAAAAATGCATGGTATTCTTTGTTATAGGTCCTTGATTATTATTGTAAGACATGTATTGTTTTTTATCGGCCGTTTCTACCAAACCTTTCATGCGATTATGTTAGTACCACCATATCTTTCACATACAATATCTTTTGAATTTGATAATGGACAAATGATTAGACTCAAAATTGCACAATTGAAAAAATGTAAGGGACCAAAAGCAATATAATTTTTTTAAGGCTAAAATTGTACAAATATGAAACCAGGAGAATGAAAATGGATTTAAGTTAAATAAATAAAGTAATAAAGATGGATCATAAAAAGAATAATGTTAAATTAATTCGGTTAAATGATTAATTTTAATTTCAATTCAAATCAAACAAATTATAATTAACCTGATTCTAGATTTTTTTTTAATCCAAACCAATCTAATCAACTATTTTTTAACTTTTAGATTAATACATGTGAACAAAATATCATTGACCAACTCTTTATCAATATATTTCGATAACTCAACGGATTTGATTGAGTAAAGAATATAATAAATCTATAAAATAATAATAATAAAAATGTGTCCATTATAAAATAAGTTGTGTTCCGATCCTTACTATTTAAATGATGCTCTAACTTCAAAGACTAGTTCATAATATACTACAACTTAAAAATAAAAAAAAAATAAAAATAAAAAAATTTGGTTCACAAGAATCTTAGGTAAAATGCGAAATCAAAATAGAAAGCATTAAATAAAAAATAAAATCTTTAATATTCTTATATGAAATAAAACATTTCAAAACACAACTGAGAACTGCTGATAACTTGAGAGTCTCAAGCAGATCATCCTATCGAGTTTATTTATGACCATGCAGTAGTAAGGCAGAATGCTCATCAATGCAAAGTTGCATCATAATGACCATAGACTGTTATCACCCTAAACGTATTCAGTTCTCATCTCTTAATTGTTTAATACTTAATACTAGAGTTGACCATAAATTATATGAAAAATTCTAACCTCCGGAGGAAAAGGAATCATGACAGTTCATTTGTCATTAAATTATTAAATATACCTAAAAGATCGAAGAGTCTACAAACAAGACTTAAAAAGGAAAGTCAGCTCAATCCAGCTCATCGTTTCCTGTGTGTAAAAAAAAAAAGCTAAAGTCAATACCTAGTGGTATGTATGGAGGCAACATATAAAATAAAAGTATTCACATGCAATGGGAAGATCCTTGGTCACCAATGAACTAGCATGATCCACGATGTACTCACATCATGACCATGGTATAAAAAAAAGAATCAGTTCGGATCCTCTCATTTTCCTAAAATTATCAAAACATCATTTCATAACGGGGATTTAAGAATGCGTAGACTCATCGTTGGCTATGCACGAGAAGTTCTTATGTACATATTGTAACTTGCACACTGAACTAATTAACAAAAAAATACATTACCATTCATACATAAATTAATAGTATTATTGCATAACAGGCAAAAAATCGAATAACAAGGCAATCTGAACTAGCAAAATGTCAGCCTGACCAATCCTCCTCGCAGTAGAGATAAGACTGCACACATACTGCTAACCCCGACCCTTTTTCCAGACTCTGTTATCTGGTTAGTTGACTTGATCCCTTGAATACTTCTTCCCACAACATTCACCAGAAATTATTTCCAAATATTCTGAAAGCAGCCAGTTTTTTTCTCACATGGGGGAGGTACAAAACATCAACAGAAGCAATTTGTGAGAAACACTTTTTGAAAATAGTCAGCCACAAAAACAACATGAACCTGATTGAGCTTTCACTCTGGTTTGCATTAGTCATTCCCTTGGGTGTTTCTGTGACCATCGATTGTGTGCTCCTCTTCCATGAAAATAAAGTTAAGCGGATAAAGAGAGAAATGAAGTCACTAGAAGCTCTGATAAAGGATTATGATCAACTTGTGGAGAAAGGGGACAAGGTAGAATCACTAGCACGTCGTTTCTGGGATTCAGAAGATCTATCTGGAATTCATTTGCTGCTAAGAGAAGCTGAGCATAAATGGGTAAAATCAACAAGAGAAGTAATCCGTGAAGCAAAAGAATGTGTCACCAACTACAAAAAACATAGCCAAGGATGGGGTTGTATGACGGCCTCCATGAGATTGATACCCATCATAGATGTTATCTTTCAGATCAATAGAGTCAACAGTAAGATGATAGATCATATTCAAAAGAAAGATGAAAAGGCCAAGGACATCTATAAATCCATGGAGAGGTCAAGATCTCAGATTAGAAGTCTATTGGATCAATATACAATAGAAGAGGCTGACAAATCTGTAGCAGCTCAAAATCCAACGAAGAAGAAGCATTCTACAAATATAGACGAATTGATGAAGAAGGGAAATGACCTATTTTCTGGCATGGAAGAGAGATGGTCCATATATATGCTGCTTCCGCTAAGTGCTTTCGTGAAGGACTTACATCAGCTTCAGTTAGAAACTGAAACGGAAAAGCTGTGGAAAAAAGAAGCAGAAAAAATAATTGCAGAGACAGAGGCCTGCATTAGTAACTTCTCATGGTGGGTTTCAAGAATCAGTGTATTAAAGAATAGCATTCCCATAGTGACCTCTCATTTCAGAGAGGACATGAAGCGCATTGTCACTGACTTGGATCGCCTGCTTGAGAGGAAGGAGAAGTATAACTTTGCTTTTAATGATAGAGCTGCAGAGAAGTCAACCTTCCCATATACGATAGATGACAATGTAATCACACCAATCATTAAAAGCATCCAAAGCAAACTGCGGAAGGTGGACAAAAGCTCAGAGCAGCTAGCTGAAATCAATTCAATGCTTCATGATTTGGAAAAAATGAATAAAAAGCTTCAGAAGGCAGAAGAAACAGTAGGGAGAAACGCTTGTTTAGAGAAACTAAAGTCCATTGCTAAAGAGGTGGACAACTTTCTAGAAAGGTATACGATCGAGGATGAGCTCAATCTTCATGAGATCAAAAAAGCTGTTGGTCGTCTTCATAAAATAATCAAAAATTGCAGCATCGAAAGACAGAAATCAACCAAAGCAGTTGGTTTGACAAATGACATTCGATATCTGGTCTCGAAATTGACCAAAAGCAGTGATAGTCCTTCACATTCAACACTTTCCATTGTGGGGATGATAGGTGTGGGGAAGACAACTCTAGCAAAGGCAATTTATTATCACAAAGCAGCCGTTGAGCACTTCCCGATCCGTGTCTGGGTGACAGTAACTGAAGGAGCTGCCTACAAAGCACAAGTTCTGCTGATGAAAAAGGATGGGACTAAAGACCAGACATTGTATGTCACTCAGGTACGTGATCACTTGAAAGAGAAGCTGTGCCTTGTTGTTCTAGATAATGTATCAAACACAAAAGATTTTGATAAACTGTATGAAATATTATCTGGATCTGGAATGATAAATGGGAGCAGAATAGTGCTGACGACACGCTTTAAGAATGTAGCTTTACATGCTGACACAAGTAACACCCCTCACCAAATTCGACTGCTAACAAAGGAAGAGAGTTGGGAGTTGTTTAAGAAGGTGACAGGCACCGAGAAGACCAAATTAGAATCAAAAGTGGAAAAACTTGCAAGAAATGTCGTGGGAAGATGCGGGGGGCTACCACTTGCAATCTCATCTATTGGGTGTGTCCTGCAAGCCAAAGGTATGTCCCAAGAGAACTTATTGTGGGTGCTTGAACGAATCAATCATGGCAATTACAAAGCACAATGGCTTCAAGCTTGGAAAAAGAACAAACAAGAACTGAGTGAAACTATGAGTAACTGTCTTTATTACTTCATACTCTTCCCTATAGACTTTGAAATCCCAGCACGAAGATTAGTCAATCTGTGGGTTGCAGAAGGGTTGGTGAAACAAAACAACCAAAAAACAGCAGAAGACATTGCAGAGAAATGTTTAGAAGATTTGAGAGACTGCAACATGATTCAAGTTGTGGCACTAAAGTCCAATGCCAAGATTAAGACATGTCACTTGCCAAGTATGCTGAGAGAAATCATCTTGCAAGATAGTAACAGAACAAGGCACCACCAGTACTCAGGTACACATTTAGAGAGGTGTTTTGCCTATCGTTTTGATGATCATGGTCTTGATGCAAATTCAGCAAATGTGTTCAGCAAGAAAGGAATTCCTCTATCTGTTTTCTTCTTTGACAAACGAGAGGGAAGTAAGCCAGGAGAACATGTAGAGAAGATACTTTCAAAAGGCATTGCAAGTGAGCAGTTCAGGGATATTAGAGTTCTTGATCTTGAACGCATATTCAGACCTCAGTTGCCTCGAACTTTATGCAAGTTAATTCATATCACGTATCTTAGCTTGAGGTGGACTTATTTGGAGGAATTCCCACCATTCATTGGCAAACTGCTGAACTTGGAGACACTGGATTTAAAGCATACTTGTATCCGTGTTCTCCCCAGCTCCATTTGGAAATTGAAGAAACTAAGGAACTTGTATCTAAACCAAAAATATCGAAGTAGACTTGAGGGGAAGCTGAGAGGAAACTATCAGGAAAATCTCCAGACACTATGGGGTGTGTTCATGTACGGGGATTGCCCTCTTCTTCAAGACCTTCACAAGCTGAAGAACCTTAAAAATTTAAAACTAGCTTTCCAGTTGACAGAAACAGAGAAAGAAACCCTTGCCAAGAAGATTGCACAGCTGAACCAGCTTCATTCACTGAGACTTAGATCAGTCAATGAAATTGGTAGTCCTAAAAAACTAATATTGTACGATATGTCAAAGCTGGAGAATCTCTCATCCCTCCAGTTGTTTGGAAAATTAAAAGATAAACTACATCTGAACAGCTTCCCTAAAAATCTTACAGATCTCACCTTGTCAGAATCAAAACTTTCAGATGATCCTATGCCAAAGTTGCAGAGCCTATTTAAACTAAAGTCATTATGCTTTTATGCTGACTCTTACAAAGGAAGAAGCATGGTTTGTATCACAGACAGCTTTCCACAACTTCAAGTTCTAAGATTCTGGAATCTAAGGGAACTTCAAGAATGGGATGTGAAGGAAGGAGCAATGCCTAGCCTCGTGGAATTTGAAGCTCGTTCCTGCAGAAATCTGGAGTTTCCCACTGGGTTGAAGCATTTGAAGACTCTTTGCCTAATTAAGTTATATAAAATGTCAGAGCAATTCATGAATATCTTAAACCATAAGAAGACATTGTCGGATGATGTTGAGATTCATTGTTGATGGATACTCAATCTGGATATCAACCTTTAAAATCAGACAGGTATGCTTTTCCCCGCACTACTTGACTTCCCCCATCTTTCATAATGGTAGCTTACTTGTTTCCATTGCAATTTGTTATAGGTTTGGGCTCATTTTTGTTATTTGGATGTGCAACTGAACAAAGCAGACGAAAAAATGTTGATAGTATTGGTGAAATAATGTTTCAGTTATCCTTGTTGCTTGATGTCCTTCCCAAGCATTCCAAACCATCAGGATAAGTGAGGGCTTTTTACTTGTGACATTATGAAGGCTACCCATGTACTTCTCAAACTGCTGCACTTTGATTTCTCTGTTCTCAAATAATTGCATTGTTATTTTGGAACAATGTTAATTCACCTGGCTACTTCATTAGAAACAATTCATGGAACAATTTCTCTGCATTATTGAATAATTGAGGGCTTTTTAGTTGTGACATTATGAAGGCTCTTCATGTACTTCTCAAACTGCTGCACTTTGATTTCTGTGTTCTCAAATAATTGCTTTGTTATTTTGGAACATTGTTAATTCACCCAGCTACTTCATTATAAACAATTCAAGGAACAATTTCTCTGTGTTACTGAATAATTGTGTTGTTATTTTTTAAGTGTTAATTTTCATGACTACTACTGCATTGCAAACCATTCTTTGAGACACTCTTTCTCATTAAAGACAGTCTCACTTTAGAAGTTTCTTTTTTTCCCAAAAAAAATTGACAGGCTAGAAGCACACTACAAAAGCTAGCTATTATAGTTGGAGATCCCAAGTCCCTATAAACCCCAAACTAGAATCTCATGCTTTCAATTTAGGACTCGAGTCCCATACCTACCATTGGATCCTAAACATCCTACCAAGCTCCACAACTCTGACGCCCAGGCAAGCTGGCTATGCACTAGCCCCTTTGACTAGTTGCGGGTGAACACTACAATGCCCACACACCGCTAGTTTACAATTGAGAGACATGGTGGAAGGCTCTGATACCAATTGATAAAAAAAACTTGGGAAAACCACACCACAAAACCTAGCTATTATAGTTGGAGAGCCCAAGACCTTATAAACCCAATACTAGAAATCCATATTTCCAATGTGAGGGTCGACTCCCATAAGCCATACCTTACAATTGGATCCTAACAAGTGTGTTCCAGGGAAATGATGGGAAATACTTAGGATTATTAGCAGCAACTCAAATTTTAATGGTATTTCAAAAAGTTTTCAGGGAGAGATCAAATCATCAAATGAAAGGGAGGAAATATTGTTGCGGGTTGCATCAATTGTCCCGTGGCGGAGGCTAGGTGGGCCAAGTCACTGTCGAATCATGGCGCTTGGGCTGCTGCGCTCTTAAGTAAAAAGAGTTGCGCCCTGACTATCAGCTATAACTTTTGGCCTAGTGGTAAGCGCTCGATCCAACAATTGGTATCAGAGCCAAGGTCATGAGTTCGATACCCAGCAGGGCAATTGCTGAGGGGGAGATTGTTGCGGGTTGCATCAATTGTCCCGTGGCGGAGGCTAGGTGGGCCAAGTCACTGTCGAATCATGGTGCTTGGGCTGCTGCGCTCTTAAGTAAAAAGAGTTGCGCCCTAACTATCAACTATAGCTTTTGGCCTAGTGGTAAGCGCTCGATCCAACAAATATAACATCATATTTTTATCTATATAGATCAAGCATGATTCGTTATAATAATTCTCACTGACAAAGTAACACTATCTAGTCACGCCTTTCAACCCCATCATGATAGGAACTCCTATGACCTCCATGTATGATAACTTCATTGTCAGCTTTATGGATAAGATTCAGAATATCACAGTATAAGTCTAATAAGTCTAATAATGCAGAATGTGTGTGAAGGAGAGAACCAGGGGAGTGAAAGGGAGAATAGGGTAAAAGACAAAAAGAAACATGCTACAGTTGTTTCAATGACTTTAATATGTATATAAAAATTACTTATGCATATTTTTATTATTTGAAAATTACATAAATTTCCCTTATTTTAACATTCAACGTAGCTAAAGGGGATATTAGTTTAAAACTTGGGTAGTTTGTGTATAACTGTATATTCTATAAACAGAACAGGGCCTTCATTTATGCTAAAATTTTGAATAGTTGGTGAGAAGAAATGAATGAATGAATAAATAAATGAAGTGATTCCTAGCTTCCTACTATATTATCAAAACTAAAGAAGATGAATGTAACTTTTAACTTTTCAAGCTTTCCAACTTTGGGGTCAAAACTTATAAGCATCCATTATATTTCATATACAAGTTTGATATATCATTACACCATTAGCTCGTTATCAATCTACATCCTTTCTATTCCAGTGTATTTTCATGTTGCTCATTCCTTAATTAAAGTTTGTGCAGCATTTTAACTTGTTTTGGTTCAAAAAGTCATATGATACTACAACCTTGAGAGTTAGTACTCCTTTTTATATCCATATAGATATTCAATCCATTTCAATATTCATCTAGAAGAAAGTAAAATATGAACCAAGGTGGGTTATTAGAAAGATGTAAACATTTGAATGCAATCCCAAAACTCTTTAGAAAAGAAATTGTAATTTTTATGATATAAAAGCAAGTGCACATCATGAAACATTTTGAGGAAGTGATATATCATGCTACTTTTCTAATAGGGAAAAACTAATACAAATTCAAAATGAATTTAACACAACCTTATCCAAGTAGTTGCCCGAACAAGAGTTTGACTCTTCCCCTTAAAGCCTGGATTTTGGACTTTGAGATTCCTTAGACCATTTGGGAGGAAGTATTTTGTATTCTTGGATAGGCTCCAACTCCTTGCTTTCATCTTCGCCTAGAATGTCCTTAGAGAATGCATCTGGATTGGCCTTGATGCAGCTCTGCAAAGCAACAAATGGATGTACGCAGTCCGAGCCCTACAAAATTGGAGCAAATTGCATATTACAATCCTTGATGACAATCTAGAAATTAAAACTCCAAAATAAAATATTTGAAATTTGCCAATATTGGTTGCGGGTTGCAATTGCAGAATGCAGAGTATAGACGATGAGTCAGTAACACAGACTTCCACACTATCACAGAATTCTTAATCATACCATAATTAAAACAGTCTCCGTAACCAGGCTTTGAGGGTGCAAGAAAGTGTAACAAATAGGTGAAGAAACACTACTGAGATGGTTACAACTTCATCTGAATTTCAATCCTACTAAGAAGCCCACTAAAGATCAGAAATTGTTGAAGAAAGAAAAAGATACTTCTTTTGTTCTTGCAATGCGATCAAAAAAATAAGAAATGGTGAATTTATTCGAGATATTTATGTACTTACAAAATAAGGTCTCAATTCATCCTATTTCATCATATTTAGATGTGGTTCACTAATCTCAAATCAAACTTATTATGCAGAGAGGCTGGTCTAGGTAGATATAGGCTTGAGTTGTGTCACCTACTAACAGCTAAATCAGTTGACATGACACTTGTAATTGTAGCTACATCTTTCTTCAGGAAAAAAGCTATGTAATCACTAATGAGAGAAGCAAGTGTAAGAAAGAATAAAGCAAAGTATGAATGAAGTAAGATATACCTTTTCTTCAGTGGTGCTCTTGAGAAAACACAGGAATGCCTCTGAGAACTGAGAGCCACAGGAACCAGTTCGCAAGTCAGCAATGCAAGGGCATTCAAGGGCCTTCTGAGCCATCGCCTCAACAGACTAAAAAAATCCACAATTTTCAATTGATTTCATTTATTCACTCAACTTGCCAAGTTGAAAGCAAAAGAGCAAAGCAATTGAATGCAAACCTCGGTGTCTTGGCTTCCATATGCTGCAGCTTCTGCAATAAACAACACAAGCTGAGATTTCGTTTCAGGCAGACATGACATTTATACAAACACGTGAAGCGCATGAGAAGTGAAACACGAAAAAACAACCTGCGATAGCGGATTCCAGGGAACTGGGGTTGGAGGAGTCATTGGTTGTGCTCTGGGTCTCCGCCACAGCTTCTGCGCTTTCAGTTTGACCCATTGTGAGTCCTGATAAATGAGTTCACAATTCTGATTTTGGTTGTGTTTGTGTTTGTGTTATGTTTAAGAATGGAAGTCCGAAGCCAATTCAATTCTTATCTTCTCTAACACGGAAAGAAGGACTTCCTAGTTCCCTTCCGATTCAAAGTATTAGTTTACTTTACCATCTTGGTAGAAAATTAATAATCAATATTTTTTTCATACACATATTAAACATTTATTATATATTATAGGGATTAAAATACATTATACATCTAAGAGTTACATACGTCAAATATTAAATGATCGTGGATGGTTATTTAAAGAGGATATGAGAATTTTTTTTCTTCTAACATTCCATAAGTATAAAGGTCTACTAAATAGTGAAGACTAAAAATAATAATAAATCTTAATATTTTTTTTTTAATAATAGGTACATATAATTAAAATTTATAATAAATTATACGTATAAATAAATAATATATTTATATATAAATTATATTTAAATTTTATATAAATAATTTATATTATAATTCAAGATTAATTTTATTTGTTGATAATTATTTTAAAAATATTAAAATTTAATTCAAAATAATTATGATAAATAAAAAAATTGAATTAGATAAAAAGTTAAAAAAATTATAAAAAAACTTTCTCTTCAAAGAAGAACTTTTTAAAAGTATTCTCACATAAAAAAAAAAGTTTGTTTAATATATAAGAGTTTATATATATATATAGGAGTAGAGCTGGAAATTTGACTTGAGAGGGGCCAAAAAAAATTTAGCATTTATATACAAATATTTTAGCATCATAAATAATTTATTATCATTTATATTTTTTTTATTTCTATTTCTATCACATTATATATCAATCATACATATTTTTCTTTATTTTTCTTTTTCCAAGTATAAACTAACTTAATAATGACAAATATGATTATAATGTTTATACAATGGATACAGACTACATGTTATCATGCATGTGATGCTAGTAAAACATCAAACTTGTATATTGCCGCTAACAATACATTAGAGTAGTTTAGGAGTATATACTGAGTCACACCCTTTGTGCACTTACACTAGAAGGACATCTACCAGGGTCAGGTAGGGATAGTTAAGCCACGCAAGATACATCTTATGTTCTTATGGGCAAGACTGAGACTTTCAACCATGTTATCATTAAAGTTGGTTCCCGAGCTTTTACACAAGGGACCTTCCGTGGTAGTGCATTCTATATCATACCCTTTTAAAAAAAATATTTTATGCATATAATGCATGCCAAACAGACTATATCCATTACATTCACATAGTTCCATAATCTCACATTTAGCATACTTCTCATATCACATTACTCCTCACTTGTATTCATATATTCATATATAGACATCAATTCACATCCACGCCCACATTATGATACAAGAATTACATCATTGAATTTAGCAAAAGATCAACAAGAAATTCGCAAGTAGGACAATGCCCATTGACACACGTCTCGCGCCTGGTGCGATACCTACAGAGGACCACATTAGTCTTTATTTGAACTGTGTCCAGTGTGACCAAGTCCACACCTAGTGAGAGCACCATCGAGAGCTCTCTGAAGTGTCCACGCCTGATGAAAGTCAACTCACACTCGACGAAAGCGTTATAGGGAACTCTTGGAGCTTTTGCAATTGACGAGGATCATCCCACATCCAGTGTGAGGGACCCTAAGAACAAACTTTGCTCTTGACCTTGATGACACTCGACATGCCCCAAGTGGCATCCAGTGACGTATCAGAAAATGTACACAGTAGAAGACATAGAATTTTGACTTATGCATCAATTCACCAAAACGTATCATTTAATCGGTAAACATGTTCTATAGCAAGTAAATTAACGCTCAATATCATCCAATTCACACATACAACTACTATCCTTTCACTATCATCACAACAAGTTCCCTTAGGGTTTTCCATAGGAACCCATAGGACCTTTAATCATATAATTTTTCATCCAAAACATGAATCCATTCAAACAATTCATGCAATTAATTATGAGTGAGAAGAATAAGGAACAAAATAGGAAAATTAGGAGAAACCCTTCATACATAGACACACAACATACACAATATTGGAGTCAATCCCACTACTCAACATACAAATTCACACTCAAAGCAAGGTTTGTCACTCCCCTCTTACCTAGATAAGCTTTAGATGATGAGTGCATGGTTTTGGGGTGATTTCTTTTCTACTCCTATTCTTCGAGTTTTGAAGTGCATATGTGAAAATAGATACGTAAAAAGGGTTTGATAAAAAAATTCCTCTTTTAAAAATACTTAACTTTCCTTTAACCTTCTAGTTAAAATTATTAACTACGATTATCCCAAAAATTCCTTCCCTTATTAATAAAATATTATACTATCATTTAATAAAATATCATATATTATATTCTAAATTATATTACATAATTAAAACAAATCTTAGACAGTCCCTATTAATAAAATAACATATCAAAATTATTAATAAAATATTTATATTATTTTTTAGTCAAAACAGGGTGTTATATCCTGCAATAAGCATCTTCGTCACCATTGAAAACAAGAACACATCCTTTCATCACTAGTCAAACCAAATATTTTGTAGTTCAAATCACACTCTCCAAACAACCATTAAAATTTATCGATCTCCACTATAAGCACCCCAAAAATCCATAACCACATGCTACCATCTCACCAAAACCAAATATGTTACAAGAAAGGAACAATTAATAAAATTATGGCGTTTCTAACATAAAATAAGATCCAACAATAAAACTAAATCTTCATGTAGTCACTCGTCACTTTGTTAGCAAGGTGCAAGCACGACCTTAGAGGTGACAAAGAGCTTTGACTTTGGAAGTTGAGTCAAGGTTGTAGCAATGGATTTTGTGTTTGTTAGAACTATATGAATGGAGATGTATTAGGGTATTTATAGGCAATAGTGAAATAAAATGTCATGGTGGTAATATTGTGAGATGCCCTTGGTTGTTTGTGTAATATTGTGTTGTGAGTTGTATGTTTATTTTAAATTTTAATATTTAATTGATTTACGATGATGTGTTGTTCTAATGTTTTAGAACTCTAAGGATCAAGAGAATTTTTAAGAGTTTAGTTGTTTATTTATTTATTTATTTTGTTTTGAGGTCAAGGTTTATCAAGTTTGGGAAAGGTATACATGGTTCTTTGAAGACTTAAATTTCATAAATTCATTTCTTAGAGTTTTTAGAAAGAAGTTTTAGAGAAATGGACTCTAGAGGTGAAGGAGATCTTTCTTTCTTCTAACTTCTTAGAAGTGCTCTGATTTTTCCCCAAACCAAAGATTGTTGTAACTAAGTAGATATTCAAAGCTGAGGAGCTAAGAATCAAACAAAGGAGTCGTTGTACGAGAGTTTAGGGTTCTTTGAGTTTTCTTCTTCTTTTCCTTGTTTTTTTGTGGATTTGAGGTAACAGAAGTTTATTGCTTGATTCTTTGAAGTTGCTACATATTGTATTTGTTGTTGATTTGTTCATTGGTGGCTCAATTTGTTGTTTTGAGGTAGTTGTTGAAGATGGTGAAGTTGGGGTTTTGGGGTTGATGAATCAAAACCCATAACTTATGATTTATTGATGTAATTATTTTGCATATCAAATCTAAGGTTGGATTTATGTTATCTAAGTTGTTTAGAATCATTTCTATGATTTGAATTTAAACTTTTGAACTTATAGATGGGTTGATGAGGTAGGAGTTCCAAAAATGGTGAAGTTGCATATAGGTTCAACACAATTTCGCTAGGCCAAATTTTCTTGGTTAGGTGAAATTGGGGTAAAGCCCATGTAAAGAAAAGATAAATACTAGAAGGGAGTTGAATAGTGTATATAAAAACCTCACACTTTTTACATAGTGAAGTGCGAAGAGAAGTCAGACGAAACATTAAGAATTTTATACTGTTTCATATCAACTATCGAGACTACATCTAATTCTTAATCCTACCATATTGAGTCTCACTATCTTTTAACAAAGCTACAAGTATTCTTTCAACAAGACACTTTTATCTCAACCCTAAGTATTCTTTGACATGTCTCTTCAAGTTACTACCCAAATATTCTTTTCACAACAAGTCTCTCTAGACTTAACAATCAAGTATTCTTTCAAACAAGCCTTCTCAGGCCCAACAACCAAGTATTATTTTACAGAAAAATTTCTCTAGACTCAACCTTATAACAATGGTTATGAATGTTACAAAAAATTTATTTTCATCTCACTTAAATAGTATACATCTAATATAGAGCAATAACTTATTTCAAGAAAGAATGAAGATTATACACAAGTATAATTTACAGAGAGTGTATGTTTATGTACATGTGTATTTATGTGTTTTGTCTACTTTCTTGAGTTTCGAATCTTCTTATATAGTAGGATGAAGAACATGATAGTTGCAACACTTTGAATCCAACTCACAATTTTATTTCGTCTATCTTTAATGTTTTTCCTTGTGATGAGAGGTAATCATTGACTCATTTAATGCAAGTATTAAATGCATTTCACCAAATGATATTTCTTATCTGATCAAAGAAACTACTTATCATCTTTTCATATCAAATGGAGCTTATAGAAGCAATGTCAACACAAAGCAGCAACAATAATGTCTTTTTCTACTTTTCTTCGTGATTTTAGAGATCTTTGTCCTTGGTTTAAATGGGAAACATGATCTTGTTTCCTTTAACAGATTTGTAAGTTCCATGATGATTTTCTAATTCAATATGTGAAGGAATCAAACATTCAAATAAATTTTATCATTAGTCTCAATAAATAATGAACATTTAATGAATATGAGATAGACTGCATGCTTCATCTAATTCACATCGTCTTATAGAAGATCTACCTCTTACATTTCATTTGATAAACATTTTTGAAGATATTTTCTTTTATAAAAATGTTTCATTTGTTAACATTAAAAATTCAAAAACTTGAAGGATGTAACACCCCATTTTTCATAAATATAATATAAGTATTTTATTAATAGGGACTATTAAATATTTATTTAATTATTTAATATATTTTAAAATATAGTATAAAGTGTTTTATTAAAAGTTTTTAATTAAATATTTATTTAAATTAATTGAGTGGAAGGGAATTTGTGACTATAGTTCATTCTACAAGGTTAAAGGATGGTTAAGGTTTCAAAA